TTTTGTTGTGATTTCTCAAGGAGATTTCTCCTCAATTTATAGGGGCTGAACCCACTAACTCCACCCCCCCAGATCCGCCCCAATGAGAGATTTTCTCTCAACAACCCTTCCACGTTTTCACATTCCACAATTCTCTCTACTGAGAATCGTTGATTTGGTCATCTTAGACCAGGTCAAGCTAACATCTCCCACTTGACCAAATCAACCAAGTGATATGCCTCCCACTATCCGTGAGATCAGATGTTTCTGCTTACTATTACTCCCACTATCCATAGAGAGTAACTTTTATTTCATTATTCATGAAATTTTACTTGGACTTATTTATTCCTAAGTCCCATCAAACTTACATGTTTGATAAAAGATTCCGCTGGTATTCCTTTTGTCAAAGGATCAGCAATCATATCTGTAGTAGGGATATAAGTCACTTTGACTTCTCCCTTTTCTACAATATCTCGAATATAGTGATACTGGATCTCAATATGTTTTCCTTTGGAGCTATTCGCGCCACTATTGATTAAGCTAATTGCTGCTTGATTATCACAATAAATATCAATAGGTCCTTCTAACAAATTGAGATCAAGATCAATCAAAAACCGTCTTATCCAGACAGCATGTGTAGTTGCCATACTGCAAGCTATATATTCAGCTTCTTGCGTATATCTAGCAACACACCCTTGTTTCTTGCTACTCCAAGAAACAGCTCCTCCTCCAAAGATAAATAAGTGTCCCGAAGTGGACTTTCCATCATCTTTATCACCTCCGAAATCAGCATCGGAATAACCGAGGAGTTCAAGCGAATCAGCTTGATAAACTAATCTATGAGTCAATGTACCTCTGATATACTTCATAATCCTTTTAACAGCTTCCCAATGTGCTGGTCCTGGATTACTTTGATATCTACTGACTAGACTCACAGCATAAGCTATATCAGGTCTGGTGCACAACATTGCATACATCAAGCTTCCAATTGCTTGAGCATAAGGAACATCTAATGGCTTTTGCCCCTCTCCAGGGCTTTGCTCTTTACATAATCTCTTTCCCATAACCAACGGAGTTGGTGCCGGATTGGAATTCTCCATTCCAAACCTTTTAAGAACTGATCTTAAATATTTTTCTTGGTTTAAACTTAGCATTCTAGACTTTCTATCTCGAATTATTTGAATTCCAAGAATATATGATGCATCTCCCATGTCTTTCATCTCAAACTTTTCGCTGAGATCTGCCTTGGTTTTATTCAACATTTCTATGTCATTTCCAGCGAGCAATATATCATCCACATATAAGGATAATATAGTAAACTTGCTCCCACTTTTCAAGACATATACACAATTATCTAATTTATTTTGAATAAAACCAAGTTTAGTAACTGCATCATGAAATTTGAGATACCATTGTCTAGAAGACTGTTTTAAACCATATAGAGATTTCATTAATTTGTAAACTTTATGTTCCTGTTCTTTCACCTGAAAACCTTCAGGTTGTTGCATATATATTGCTTCCTTCAACTCTCCGTTAAGGAATGCAGTTTTAACATCCATTTGGAATAACTCCAAATCAAGATATGCAACAATAGCCAAAATAATTCTAATGGATGCAAATTTAGCTACAGGAGAATACGTCTCCTGAAAATCTATTCCTGCCTTCTGGTTATAACCTTTGGCAACTAACCGTGCTTTGAATTTATCAATAGATCCATCAACACGATATTTCTTTTTGAGCACCCATTTGCATCCTATGGCTTTTCTATTTTCTGGTAGATCACATAACTCCCATACCTTATTCTTTTCTATGGAATCAAGTTCTTCTCTCATAGATTCTAGCCATGAAGCTGATTCATGCGATTTCATCGCATCAGAAAAGGTTAAGGGATCTTGTTCTTCTATATTTGTATCTACCGAAAAACAGGATGACTCACATGAATACAAATAGTAATCATCCATCCATGAAGGTTGTGTTCTTTGCCTTTTGTTGCCTACAACCGGTTGATTAGGTACATTATTTTCCATAGGTATTTCATCATTTTCAAGGTTAGGTTCATTCACAATATCAGGGTCATTAGTGGGAACAACACTGTAATAATCATCATCTATTACAGTTAGAGGTTCTGTTTCCTCTTGAACTTGTTCCTCTTCCTCTAGATTCTCTAGAAATGTAGCATCTCTGCTTTCAATGACTCCTTTTTCTTTATTGTAGAACTTATAACCTTTTGACTTTTCTGAATACCCTATGAATCTACACTTTATTGTTTTAAAATCCAACTTATCTCTAAGTTGACATGGAATGAGAACATGGGCTATAGATCCCCACTTCCTGAGATGACTCAAATTAGGTTTCCTCCCATTCCATAATTCATAAGGTGTAGATATAACTGATTTGGTGGGAATTCTATTTAAAATGTAGTTTGCAGTTAACAATGCTTCTCCCCAAAAGTTTTTAGAGAGACCAGAATGAGACAACATGCATCTAACTACATTTAATAATGTTCTGTTTTTTCTTTCAGCAACACCATTCTGTTGTGGCGTATACGGCATTGTTGTATGCCTTTTAATTCCATGCTGAATACAATAACTTTCAAATTCTTTAGAATTATATTCTCCACCTCTATCAGTTCTCAGAATTTTGATTTTCAATCCAAGTTGGTTTTCAACTTCTGTCTTATATCTCTTAAAGCAGTCAAAAGCTTCTAATTTTCTGGATATAAGATAGACGTGTGCAAATTTGGAATAATCATCTATAAAAGTAATAAAATATTCTTTATTACTATGAGTTTTGACACTTAGGGGACCACAAATATCCGAGTGTATCAACCCTAAAAGTTCATTGGCTCTATGTCCGCCAACAAAAGGTTTTCTAGTCATTTTACCAGTTAAACAATGTTCACATGGTGGCAATTGAACATTAGATAGTGCAGGAAGCAAGTTCATTCTGATAATTTCTTTTATTTTTGAAATACTAGCATGTCCTAGTCTAGAATGCCACAATTCAGATTCAGAAATATAACAAGACAAGTAGTTCAAATTCGAAATTTTATTATCAGAATTATTACAAACTACTGGAAGAATGCATAATTCATGCTCGGGCACATATTTACCCATAGCATACACTTTATTATTCTTGCCTATAGAAACCCTGTTATTATAGAACCTCACTTCCAGTCCTTTCTTCATCAAGCTGGGAACAGAGATCAGATTGCGTCGAATTCCTGGCGCATAGAACACATCTTTGAGGACAAGAATGTTGTCCCCAAGATCCAATCTATACGAACCAATACCTTCTACATCGAGATAGGTATTATTTCCCATATAGATTCTATGTTCTCCTTTCTTCAGCTCGGTGAATTCTACGACTCCATTCTTGTCCTTTGCGATATGGCTAGTCGCACCGGAGTCGATCCACCAACCACTGATATCCGTCATCACAGCATTACATTCCGTCACACCAACGAATTCTCTTTTGCTAGTACCCCCTTGTTCTGGATGCTTATAGCCTCCCTTATTCTCCTGCTTTTCACCTTGTGGGCAATTGGGTTTGAAATGCCCGAACTTTCCACAATTGTAGCAGGCTCCACGGGGTACTTTCTTTCTCTTGAACTACTGCGATTTCGGTCTTCGTGGTTGTGGTTTACTAGAACCAGGGTTTTTATAACTTCCAGTATTATGCCTCTGGCGGACATAATTCAGCTCTTGCTACACCACATTCAGTTCTGGTTCCTTCCTACTGCCTATTAAGTCATGTTCTATCGCTAGGTGCATAGGAAGATCAGTGACAGACTTAATGGCAGGATTCATTCTTAATGTGGTATTCTTTCCTGGATTTCGGTCCCAGCAGTGGATAAGTCCTTAGCCATGACAATCATTTTATTTATATGCTCTACGACATTGTCTCCCTCTTGCATACGACAAGAATTATACTTATGCAAGAGGAGTTAAATGTTAACTTCAGAAGCAGTGTCGTATTTTTCTTTTATTGCATTCCACATGTCCATGGAAGTTTTATAAGTTTCAAAAACTTTGATTAAATTATCTTCCATGAACATGAGCATAAGACTTTTCGCCTTTTTATCTTTCGACTTCCACTGTTCAAACCCTTTCTTTTCTTCAGGTGTAGATTTATCAGTAAGGGTTGGAGCAGTGGTTTCGATTATATCATCAATGTTGTCATGAATAAGAGCATATCCTATTTTTCTATGCCACATATCATAATTACTGCCATTAAATTTGTCAATTTTGCCTAGTTCTGATAGAACGAGTTTACTAGCCATTCGGTAAAGAACTAAAACTAAATTCAATTTTAAATATTTGTATAAGGTTGATATTTTGACAATAATACTAAATAATAATAAAGTTAGATAATAAATAAATAAATAAATAAATAAAAAGAACCTGATTGTTCCGAGTTGATGAAAGAAGTTCCAATTTGAGCGAGATTGTCACTCAACGGTGTTGATTGGATCAGCACTTGTCGAAGATTCGGCGCCGTTTCTGACTAGATTTTGAAGAAAGTCCACTATGTGAAAACCCAACAGCATGGAGATGATTTGTTGCTGTCGTTGGATTCCACTGGATCAAGACAACTACAACTGACTGATTTTTTTAATGGAAATGGCTCTGCTTATCAAATAAAAGGAATTGAGGGGCTGCAAATGTAGGAAAGTGGGCCTGTTAATGTGGGCTTTTTAAGTATAAAATGGACAGATCAAAAGGTGAAAACAATGTGAATGTGGGCTTTGAAAAATAAAATGGTTGGGTTGCTTTGTAATTGGGCCTCATGAAAACTTGGGACTTGGGAGGGCACAGTTCTCATCTCTTGAAGTGGAGGGCACCGGTTCAGTTCAAACTCCTTCACAGTGGCAACGATAAGAAAAAACAGATCCAGAACCTAGGGCAAAGGGTTGACGGCGAAACCTCCGATGTCGTCGACTGATGGCGGAACCTGATGATACCATGATCCTTTCTCCAGTGATTTGATCTCCTCCAGCAGCCATCGAAGTCGCAACGTTGTCGTCGTCGATCGTCGATTAAGGCAGTCGTTGTCGATGGCGGCGTGATGGGAGTTGAGGATCGAGGCTCTGATACCAGTGTTTGAAGCACAGAGAAAAGAAAAGATGATATCTTTGAGGGGGGCTCCGGTAACAGGTTAGGAGTTTGCTTTTTTTTTCTTTTTTGTTGTAATTTCTCATGGAGATTAATCCTCTATTTATAGGCCGAAATCTCATCATCTCCATCCCCCCTCAAACTGCATCTGAGAGATTTCCTCTCAACAAACCCCATATCCCACATTTCTCTCCACTTGAGAAGGGTTGATTTGGTCACACAAGACCAAGTCAGACTAACACATATACATCCCAAAAAACTGTAGTGTTTTACAAACACAGTTTGGTGTTTGAACTCCTATGTTGTTGAAGTACTAAATAAATAATAATAATAATAACGAAAAACGAAACCTACTGGGTTAATTCCTAACAGATTCATCATTATATAATTTACTGCAAAAAGAATCAAATAACAATGATAGGGTTTTCTATGTAGTATCTCTTTTCGTACATATTTGCAAAACTATACCCAAAATCTCACTATTTGCAAAACTAGTCCCTAAATATCACTATCTGAAAAACTAGCTCCCAGAGCATTAACTTTAAGGGACAACCCCAACATCACATATCATCAACTTTGGTAGATATGAGGAGTAAAAATTTGTATACCAGTCAACTTACCTGCAGATCATAATTGAAACGAAAAAACTTGGGAAAAACCAAGTATTATCTCGACCTACAGATCGAGCATGTTCCTAAAGAAATATTGGTATACCAGTCAACCTACCTGAAGAAGGTCATGGAGAGATTTTAAATGAATAAATCTCATGAACTTAGCACACTAATGGTTGTTAAATCCCTTGAAGTGGATAAAGACTCATACAAACCTAAAGAAGACAATGAGGCTATTTTAGGACCCTAAATCCCGTATTTGAGTATGCTATTGAAGCACTTTGTAAATTGCACTATGCCTGATATTGCATTTATGTTACACTTGCTAGCAAGAATTTGTGCATCTCCTGAAAGGAGATATTGAAATAATGTTAAATATATCCTCTGGTATCTTCAAGAGATCTTTGTTTATTCTATAAAAAAAAAATCAAAATATGACATTGGTGGGCTATTCTGATGTTGGTCATATGCCTGATCCCCATATTGCCAAATCTCTGACTGATTATGTTTTTCTCTGTAGTGGTACTGTTATTTCTTGGAGGTCTATTAAGCAGACAATGTTTACTAGTTGAAACCACTCAGAAATTGTTCCTCTATATGTGCCCCATGCGAACGTGTAAGGTTCAAATCGCTGATAAAACACATTTGATGATCGTGTGGCATATTAAATGAGGATATTACCCCCGTTGTCTTTTCTATGGACAATGTAATTTGTGTTGCATAAATGAGATGTGGAAAATTTTTATCCAAGACGAGTTGTACTATTGTGCTGGGGGTACGAATAAAACCAGGAAAAGGAGTCCCCGAGAACAGGAAACTCAGTGCCCCTGTTCCAAACTCATTCGGGCAGTATTGTCTGAGTGCGACTGCATCAAGGCGGTCCCCGAAAGAGTTTCAGTTTTTGAAAGACTCAGTGCGGAGACGCTAAAACCCAGGCCTAGGCGTTTTCAACGAAGAAGAAGGATGATTGAAGACGGAGACTTTACGAGGGTCACCACCAACATGACCAGTAAGGGGACATCGGCACGGGATGATTTCGAGTCGATTCTGAGAGCCTCCCGGCCTAGAACCCGTCTGCAGTCCGGAACCATCAAGCGAGCAACCTATGGTAGGGTTCGGACAAGACTCCCTTCAGAAGATGAAGAATCTGATGCTGGCTCCGCGGTTGCATCAGATAATACGGTATCCAGCGAGGGACAACCCCGCGAGGCACTTATGATAAGTGCGGAGCAAGTGGCCAAAATGCTTGAAGACGCCTTAGCTAAGCAGCAGGAAACCTTCAGGTTCAAAATGCAGATGACCATGCAAAACATGAGAGAAATGCATGACCAACAAATCCAGGCATTGACGAACCAGCAAGGCGAGCCAAGTCGTCGTAACCCGGTTAATCTGGAAGACGAGGATACGAATGAAGCTCGTAATACCAATAATCCTCCCGTCAATGCGGGAGGTGGTAACGAGAATGCTAGTGAAAACACAGATGAAAATCTGAAAATTAAAAATCTCGAGAGCAAAATCAATACATTGATTTCTGCTCAAGAGATGAAGAAAACAGGCATTCCTTGCCCATACCCAAGAGAATGGGAATCGATCCCATATCCGGCGAAGTTTAATCTAATTAACTTCACGCCGTTTAATGGGATGGGTTCCCCCACTCAACATTTGATTTATTTCAAATCGCACCTGGGAGTTATCTCCGGCAATGAGCCTCTGATGGTGCGGTCATTCGTCGGCACTCTTCGCGGAGCCGCCTTCGATTGGTATCGCCGCCTAAGCCAGGTAGTGTGAACAGCTGGGACGACATGGAGACCAAGTTCCTCGCCAATTTTTTCGACGACGACACAGAGATATCCATTGGGTCGTTGCTTGATGAGAAACAGAAAGACGGGGAATTGGTTGACACCTTCGTCAAGAGGTTCCGGAACAAAGCGATGAACTGTCGGGACCCGATCACCGAGGAATTCATCCTCCAGACTTGCCACAACAACCTCGCGCTGGACGTATTAGAAGCAATGGGGACAGCACCGTCCAAGACATGGAAGGACTTGAAGGTCCGAGGAGAGCAAGCCGAGCGATTCCTCAGAAGAAAGAAGGCGGAGAGAGGCCAACAGGCGAATAATGCTCCGCAACAGAATTTCGTCCCACGGGGGAAAGGTAAGGCACAAGCTAATGTGGTTGATGCTAATCAAACCTTTCAATTGCAACCTCAGCAACAGCAGCAGCAGCAGCAACAAGCACCACAACAAGCTCGGGGGCAATGGCAACAACGGCCTCAGAAGCAGAAATCTTCAGAGCCGAGGTTTCCCAAGGTGTACTCCTTCAAAGATGACGAAGTTCCCGGCATCTTTAAGTACCTGTTGGAGAACAACAAAATTCAGCTGCCAGCGATTGTGGATCAAGAAGGGGCTAACAAAGTGACGGATCCGAGGTATTGTGCATACCACAGAGCGGTCCATCACCCTACGAAGTCATGCTACCACCTCAAGGACAAGATCCAGGCGCTAATTGATGTAGGCGTCATAACCCCGAAGCCGTCCAAGAATGTTGGAGCAAACGCGGTTTCGATCAGCTTTGGATCAGTACCCACAGCGTGGTTTGAACCAAAACACATCACCAAAGTGGGAATGAAAACAGTAAACAGTAAACGACGACCCGCATGGACAGCGCCAAAAAGGACTTGTGCCACATACAGCTCCAAACGGCGAAATCCTCTGGGTTCACCCCGACCTGATTGAAGATGAACAATGGGCCGGATCGTCATCCAAGAAGAAGTCCAAAGGGAAAGGAAAGTCTTGCTGCGGAGTCTCTGCTATCCCGGGAGAGGATGACGAAATAATACTAGCTTTCCCGCTCTCTGAAGAAGAACAAGAAGTTTTTGCAACCCGAAGCGGAAATGAGTATCACTACAACTATCCACCACCTAGTGAGCATGGGGTGAATAAACGGGGACCAGCCAAAACTCTCACGGAGATGGGGGTGATTACAAGTCCTACACCGGGCGAAGAGGCTCGACGACAGCCGGTGAATAAACCGAAAGAGAAGAATCCCCAAGAGGTGCAGAATCCGAAGCAGTCTCGTTTCAGTCGTCCGATTGGAAAAGACAAACCGGAAAGCTCGAAGACTCCACAGGTCTTCGATATAATGGCTCAACTAGCCAATATTCCAGCACGGATAACGCTGTATGAGTTGCTGCAGTTATCCAAGGAAACCAGGGAGGACCTGCAAGAAGCGTTGGCTAATTCAGAGGTGTTCCTGACTCAAGTCAAGCCGGTGCCTGAAAATTCAGAACCGCTGAGTCAACAATGC